GTATAAAATTCAAAATCCTTGAAATGGTTTACAGGTCATTTCATGCTTCAGAACTGAAATCCCAACCCCTACCCCACTGCCATGGCACACACTCCCCTCTTTGATCTCAATTTTTCTTTCTTATGGTCTTTGCTTAAGGCTGCGTTTTTCAAATTTCACAGAGCAACCATAAGAGAGTTGTTAATCTTATGAGACAAAAATAATGTATTTTCTATGGCAAATACACTTTTAATTTATAAATATACAAAATGTAGATGTTAAACAAGTCTTTTTTCTTTCGTTCTGAGTCACCAATGTAATTTATGTCTAAGAAGATACTCTAGAGATATAGCAGCAATAATAAAATCAAAATTTTTCTTGTAGGCCAGGCAAGGTGGCTTATGCCTATAATCCCAGCACTTTGGGAGGCCAAGGCAGGCAGAGCACTTGAGCCCAGGAGTTCAAGACCAGTCTGAGCAACATGGCAAAACCCCATCAAAAAAAAACATAAAAAACAAAAAATTTTTCTAATCAACTCCACAATCTTTTACATATTAAACACGCAATTCTCAAAAAAGATTCTTCAAGTTTGTTTAGATGTCTAACTTAAAAAGTAAAATTTTCTAGTAAATGTAAGTGCTAGTACTGTGCCTGTACCCCTAAAGCTAATTTACCTACATTCCCACAGGAACCACTAAAAGAACCCCCACTTGGAGTACTGAAAGCCAAATGCTCCAAGAATATCCATAATGAAATCCTCCCAAGACACATATACCTTAAACACCTTCTCATAGAATGTCATGAAATTCGTGATCCCACTTTCCACCCCCTAAACCCTATCACTGTCCCATTTCCTCCTTTTATTACGTCCCCGGAAGAAAACAGCAATAGAAGGACACAGGGACACACACACACCTGATTAAGGAAACCTCCCTTAGGCTGCCATGCCCCATCCTGCATAAGTAGAGAAGGAATCCATGTTGACACAGGGAAGAGAACCTAACTAAAATGGGGAAAGGTCAAAGAAGGGAGAAAGGAATTACTTCTAGTTGATAGAGAAAGTGAAAAATCAGATTTATCAGGTGCAGGTTCCTATGGGCCATCATCTGAGAATAAAATCATGTCTGAAAATTTGTCCAGAACGTGGCAATAAGCAAAGAGTGTTATTACTGCTACATTAACAAAAAGGAAAACAGTGTAAATAAAACTACGTGTAAGCTTGTAACCTGCATTTCATCGCTGAGTTCACAGTTTCTTGAGGAAAACAGAGACCCTACAAAGTTAATTAAAAGTTCCTGCCAAATGAAAATCAAGCTTCTATAAAGATCACAGAAAATACAAAATACACCAATAGGAAAACAGATTTTGCTAAACAAACCTCATTTGGTGTATCTATTATTCATTTACTCAATATGGGCAAATACCATCGTGGGCTGTACAAAGCAGTAAAACATCAAAATGTGAAACTAAGCTTCAACGTACGAACCAAATAAACACGAAATTTAAAAAACAAAACAAAACAAAACAAAAACTGGCTTCCATACACTTTATTCTGGAATTTAGACAGACAAAACAATTTAGGGGAAAAAAAAAATCTTCCTACTTGCTGACTCCACTTTTTTACTTTCCATGGCTTCCATTCCTTCCTTTGATGAAGTTTCCAATAATCACATTGTTAGATTCGACCATGACCTTCCACCCAGCTGCTGACGTAAAAAAAACTGGAATTATCCCTATTTCCCCCCTTTCTTGTTTTTGTTTGTTTGTTTGTTTGGAGAGGAATTATCCCTATTTCTTTTTTTTTTTTGAGATGGAGTCTCGCTCTGTCGCCCAGGCTGGAGTGCAGTGGCCGGATCTCAGCTCACTGCAAGCTCCGCCTCCCGGGTTTACGCC